AGTGGTGTGGCCGCGTGCACGATATGTCGGACAACAGAGCAAAGAAGTGAACGAGTATCTCGACGTTGCACGCTACATAAGAAACGGGCAAGATGGAACCGCAGCGTACTTCACCTGGCAAAACGGGTGGAAGTAGCACCGCGTCGTGACATCCCAAACACGCGAGCCCATCCTTCCTTATGAAAAAACCGATGCTATGGCCCTTAAGACACGACAAAATCCGATCACTCGAATCCAAACAAATTATCATCGTGCATGGATCCCATATATGTAACTCATGATCAATGCATACACACACGTACAGGTCTAACTTATGAAGGGGGTATATGTATGATCGTTTCCGGTGTAGGAAAGCATATCTATGGATTAGAGTTAACTATGATTGATGTTGAGATGATTTTCGTGCGGTATGTTGCATGAACTAGGAGGCGCCTGAGGTTGGCGAATGGCAAGCCAGCGATCTCTAATCGCCGATCGACAGGGAACTGATGGAGGCAAGAAAGCTTAGTCAGCAGACCTGGGAGACAATTCGTCAAGGGCTCAGAGGTTTACTCTTTGGTCTCTCTTCTCCACCTCCCCTTTCCTCCCCTCCCATTTGAACGGTTGCTTGAGCTGAAAATGTCCGTGTCTGCGATGAAGCTGTCGAGGACTACGCTACCACGGTTTGTCGTTCCTGCAATCCAGGTATGCCCAATCCCAATCCCCCCCACTCATGCTTACACACCCCAGGCACGACACCTCGCCACGCCCACCACGCCCACCAACCCCTCCTTCGCCGAGCGGCTCGCCTCCGGTCCTTCTCTGGGCGACTTCATCCACTCCGATCCCGAAGCTGACCAAGCTCGCGGGATCGAGCGTATCATCCTTGGTAACACTTCCCAGCCCAGGCTGCCATCACATTTGAAGACATCGATTCCTTCGGGGAAAAACTATACGAGGATCAAGCAGGATCTGAGGGGCTTGGGACTGCATACCGTTTGTGAGGAAGCGAGGTGCCCGAATATTGGCACATGTTGGGGAGGCGGAGGGGACGGCGTAGAGGACGCCAAGAGGCTCGCTACGGCCACCATTATGGTCCGTCAATGCCCATGCATGAGATGCAAACTGATATCTCGCAGCTCATGGGGGATACATGTACTCGCGGCTGCCGGTTTTGTAGTGTCAAGACCTCGCGCACTCCTCCCCCTCTCGACCCACATGAACCCGAGCACACAGCAGAAGCCATCGCTCGCTGGGGATTGGGGTATATCGTCCTCACTTCCGTAGACCGGGACGACCTCCCAGACTCGGGAGCTGCCCATTTCGCGAGTACGATCAGCAAGATCAAGCAGAAGAACTCGAGCGTGCTGGTTGAGGCTCTCACGGGGGACTTCAATGGTGTCGCAAAGGATATAGAGCTTGTTGCGAGGTCGGGGCTGGACGTGTATGCGCATAATCTGGAGACGGTGGAGAGGTTGACACCTGGCGTGAGGGATTATAGGGCTAAGTATAGGCAGAGTCTGGAGGTGTTGGAGAGGGCGAAGGGGACGGGTGTGAGGGTTACCAAGACGAGTTTGATGCTTGGTGTAGGGGAAGAGGAGGCAGAGGTGATGCAGACGCTGCGAGGTGCGTCCTTTCCCCTGTTCTTTTGAAGACAGTGCTAATTGCCTGCATGGGTAGATGCGCGCAACGCCGGAGTAGACGTGGTCACCTTCGGACAGTATATGCGTCCCACAAAACGGCATATGAAAGTAACGCGCTACGTGCTCCCCTCCGAGTTCGACAGCTGGAAAGAACGCGCAGACGCAATGGGATTCCTATATGTGGCTAGTGGGCCACTTGTGCGGAGCAGCTATAAGGCCGGGGAGATGTTTGTCGAGAATATCCTTAGGGGAGAGAGGGCGAAGGGACCGAGGGACGCCGTCATCCAGGCGGAGGAGGCTGCGGTGGGACAATGAGCTGCGCGAAGGGTTTCAACACCGGAGATTTGAAGCATCACGCGCTTCTTCGTGCGTAGAGACATCAGGCAGCTAGGAGTATGCGGGATGTCGGAAAATACAACTGAGATCAAATAGAGGATCAACGGAACAACCCAGAGTTCTGAATCTCTCCACTTGGAGTACGTGGAGAGATTCAGAAATAGATTCATGGACAGGAAGTGTACTAAGTTCTTGTCCTTAATACACACCTGGGATCCTTGCTGTCAAGACATGGGACCAGATGCTGTACATAGAGAGCATGCAGAATAGAACAGACACCCCTGGTTCATGCAACACTAAAATTTATATCATCCCAACATCAATCATGGTTAGCTCTCATCCATAGATATGCTTTCCTACACCAGAAACAATCATACATTATCCCCCCTCTAGAAGTTAGACCTGTACGTATGCATTCATCATGAGTTACATATATGCGATCCATTCAAGATGATAGATTTCGAGTGATCGGATTTTATCGTTTCTTGAGGGCCATAGCATCGCTTCTTTCATAAGGGATCGCGTGTTTGGGATGTGATGACGCGGTGATACTTCTACTCGTTGTTCCAGGTGAAGAACGCTGCGGTTCCATCTTGCCCGTTTCTTATGTAGCGTGCAACATCGAGATACTCGTTCACTTCTTTACTCTTTTGTCCGACATATCGTGCACGCGGCCACACCACG